CATCAGCTGAATAGGCATGAGGTGGCACAACTCTTGGGAGACTGCTTTACTGCTTTTCTGCAACTGGCCTCTTAAAATGTTTTATCCAAATACTTATTTTATCCTTTTTTCCCCCCTTTTTTTAGTTTCTAAGAGACATGATTATGAAATAAAAAGTGAACTCAGTTAATGAAGGGCTTCTTGGTTCCCCTAAAACAATAAGTCTGAGGGAGAGGTGAATGGCTTGATTAATTTCTACATGTCATTAGCTTCCATACCCTCAGATGACAATGTTAATATTCACAATGTGAATTATTTCTCAGCTGATTGGTTTAGGAAGAACACACAATGCATGTACTTATTCCATGATCTAGCACTGTACCAAATAACCCTGTGGATGCCCTAAAACTTGAAATACCCCTGCTGTCCTGCTTTTATTGGTCATTATAGGCAGCATGGTTGAGATTTTACAGTGCAAACATCTGTGGCAATTGCCAACTGCAAATGTGGACAGTGTGAAGCAAAGCAAAATCCAGAATGACTAGTAAGGTATGGACTGATATATTGATACATGCCTAAATAAATTTAGCTGACTAAAAGCTGCTGAGTGTCTGGACTTTATCTTTAAACTGTTGTCTCAAATCTCCCAGCCAATTAGACTTAAGTAGTTTAGAATTCAATGATTTGATTGCAGAGTTCAGAGATTATTAGAGCAAATGGGGCCTGATCAATGCCTTGGGTCATCTTTTCAAAGTGTTAATTAATTAATCAACAGAACAGAAATATATGTGTAATGCAAATTAAGTCAGTCTCAAGTTACTAGAATACCAGAATTGGTCATACACAGGAGAGGAGAATCCAAAAGCAGCAGGATATTAGTGCTTTTATCTGTGTAACACCACTTTCTTTGGTGATGTCCTGAACTAGAGATATTTGCAGGTTTGCGTGATTGTTTCTGCTGTGCTCTCCTGGAGAAGTGAATAAGCTTTTGAGGCAATGGAAGAAATTCAGTAACTGAAATATTCATGATTCAATGTCAGCCCTTGATTCTATTTGTTGCCACTGTTTCTCTTCATTTACATTAACCCCCAAACCAGGTTCTTTTGCTGTAATCTAGTACCAAATATAGTTTCCCTAATCCCCAAGTCCACACTGAATTGCAGTATTTCCCCATGAAACAAAGTAATTTTATATGGTATTTTCTGTTTTCTTTGCCAATTGTTTCTTCAGGTTATTTGTTTTTTTTTTTTTGGTTTTTTTTTTTTCCCCACAGCTTTGTCTTTTAGTGTGGAGTGATATAAGCTTTGTTCTCCCCTAGTTTCTCCTTATTAAAAGTCTTCTATCTTTGGTCTTCAGAGTACGTGAAAATGCTGTGTTGTTTTTCTCAAGGACCATACATCGCCTCCCTTGAATGAGAGAGTTAGATACTTGATTTGTTTTGGACATTGGAGACATTCTTCTATTCCTGAATGTGCACCTCTCCTTTCACCTGCATGCAGGAACCAGACCAACTCATTGCTCAGGTCATCTCTCTGTTTAGAACCAGTAAAGTTCTTAGGTTCAAACCCTGAAGTACTTCCTGTCAGGCTTCTCGCTTCAGTTCTGTTGTGGCTTTTTATGCACACAGTAATTTTTATTAACAATAAAAGGGTTGTGTGCATAGTTGGGATAAAAGGTAGAAAATGGGGTTTCAGAAAAGAAAATGAATTATCCATGTCAGAATTTGGCCTCACAATTCCTACAAACAGGAAAAGTCAGTCTTCAATTAAAACTCCAGAAGGTGGTTTGTCACAAACCCCTTGGACTGGAGCACAAGGGCTACTTCAGCTGCTCTGCCATTACCTGCTGGTTTTGGAGACAGCAATAGCAATTGGCCAGACACCAGAATATCCTGTTACATTGAAACAACCTGTGGTACCATGTAAAACTTGTTCCTAAAACCAAGGGCCATGAAGTTGGCTAAGCCCAGCCAATGGATCCTTTGCCCAACTTTACCCTTGTTCAGCTTTCTCATAACCATGGCAGGATACAAAAGATTAAGAGGTTGGTGAGGCAAGTTCTGTGTAGGTATTTCACACTCATCTCAAAGAGACAATTTTCTATTCTGTCACTTGTGTGATTTTATTTTGTATGTACACAGACAGATTCCTTGAATGATCACATAAGTTATAAATTCCATTTTGTTTCCATGAACTGTGAGTCTCTCTGTGCCTGGGGCTGTCATGTGCTAACAAGAGACAGGAGGAGTGCCAGAGTGTCAGTCATTACAGACTCTTTCCATCTAGTTTACTCTTAACTAGGAGGGGCACATGAGGAACAAGAGCTTAAATAAGGACAGCATATCCCTCCCACAGGGAACCAAGACAAAGCAGCCAGGTGGTAGTGTTTGGATTTCAAAGCCAGGAAGGATTTTTGGAAGCAGAAATGGCTTGGTCAGGAAAGATAAAGTGATGCATGGACACACCAGAGAGGTCTTGAGACACAGAGGTGGTGGGGAGGCAGTGGAAGCCCCATCATCTTCGTTGGAAGAAGCTAATGTCTGTGCTTCTGGGGAATCAGAGGGGAAGGTCTCTGAGCACCAAAGGGGATCTCAAAAAATCTCAAGGAAAATTCAACAGTGAGGAAACGTAGGCAGGGAGATGTATATGTGTTTACTATGTCATATGGCTCAGTGTCTCTCTTGTGGTCATTAAAGTGAAGAATGGCTGCTTTTGAGACATTTGCAAAGTCTGTGCGTTCCCTGATTCAGCTCTGTAGGATCCTGGAGAGAGAAATTGTCACTCAGATGTTGGCTGTAACTGAGCTCTGGGAAAGAGTGTGTCAAAGCCATGGGGTGTCAGCCGCAGTTGCAGGGTCTAAGCCAGGGTCTCTCCTCTTAGAAGGGAAAAGAGATTGCCTGGAGACCCAAGGCAGATCGGAAAACTTCAGAGTGTTTTTATGTGGAAGCAGACAGAGGCTTTGAGAGAGACTCACAAGAGGTGTAATCTAGGCTGTAGTATCTCAGTCTTTGAATTCTTACCTGTAGTATAATGAAACTGAGTGAGAGAACACCAAGGCTTGCACATAGTGAGATAACAAGCAGGACCATTGGTGGCTCCAAGCATTATCTGGCAAACACATGCACACAAGCAAGCCACAAAATGGAAATCAGACCACGTACATCATCGTAATTTGCACTAAACCCAGGAGTAACAATTCCCACCAGCAGACAGGCTGTTAGCTCAGGCTTAGTGCCACGCTGCAGTGGCTGCATAGCTGCTGACTGTTTGGAGCATGGGAGAAGCAGCCCCTGGCTGCTTGTGGGCGGTCAGGGTAACTCCCCGTGTGCTGCCCGGGCACCCTGCGCCTGACGGACGCGGCCGCGCTGCCAGTCCCTGCTGTGTTTGCTCACAGGGCACGGTGGCCACTGTGCTCCTACAGCTTGCTGGGATGGAGGCAAAGCACAAGCTCCTCTGAGGCAATTCAAAAGGACTGAAATGCTCAAGAGGATAATGTGGAGCAAACTGATGCAAATGGTTCCTCTGCATGAACTGCAATTTTTGTAATTTGTTTAGGGAGCGAGGGGAGTGCATTTTGCTGTATGGTTTTGGTTTGCATAAATTCAAAAAGTGGTCTGATTTTTTTTTTCTGAAAATATAGCTTAACTGTTGAGAGGGAGGTGAAGGTTTTGTGATGAAAGAAAATAATATAGTAGGAAAATGGGGGATTTATGTGGTCTCCATGTTCCAGACATACTAGTTATGAAAATAGATGAACTGGTTAGATCACCTTGTATGATATGTAAATGGACATATAACTATCTTTCAATATAAAATATTAGTGCATATTTACTGTATAATAATTAATTCAACTTTATAAGCAAATTAAGATTGCCTCAAATTTACATACAATGTGAAGAAAAGTCCCTTTATCCTCTGTAACTGCAGCATTTGGCGGATTCAGGAATAAATAATCTTTTGTGGCAAGGGTATGCCTTATCAAACATATGCAGATCAGTGCTAATTAATGCTAATTAAGGTTTCCTGTCTATCTAGCTGGAAAAACGTCCAAATGTTATGAAATCCAGTTAGTATGCCTATTACCCTAATTGTTTTATACGGGATGGTTCTTAATTAAAATATGTAAATTTACCTTAATTGCTATATACTAATAGAGGTTCATGTTATCTCACTAAAAATGACAAGATGGTGAGGAGGGGTACTTAAACAAATAATTCTGATACGTTTGTAAATAAATGACCTTTACTCAAAATTATTTTTAATTGGAAATTGGCAAAAGGAACATTTTGCCATCAATGTTTCTCTTTAGTTTTAAATAATGTCAGAATTTATGGTTCTTTGTTAATATAGATCTGGTGACATTGCAGCTTAATTAAGACTACTAAACAAGTCAACATTTTGTGTGTTTACTACGTGTTTCAAAATTGTTTGCTAACCTCAAACTGACCTTCAGAAATGTCATACTTTACAATATTAATCTTTATTTTCACTATTTTTTTGTTTGTGTTTTGATTTTTATCTCTTTAATCATATGGCTTTATATGTGAAGTTTGATGGTGATGTTTGATTTGTGACTTTTGCTGGTACCTGACCCATGCCTTTGCAGCAGAGAGGGGCTGGTGAGCTGCACCTCTTTGAGCTTCTCCTGTGACTGTAGGACTGCAGGACAGGGACTTTGACCACCTTTGGTGGAATAGTTCCCATGTCTGCTGGGACATGACTGAGGCCCACACAGGTTTCCATATAAGGTCTTGTATTTGGACAATATTTTGTATGGCAGTTCATAGGTATGCAATCTTGGCATTTTCATTATAATTATCATGCCATTTCACACACAGAACAAACATTTTTCTACTCTGATGTAAGGAATGTAATTGGAGAATCTGATAATTTAGAGAACTGCCCTATAGTTGTAGCTTTTTTAAAAACACCTGGTACATTTTAGCTTGTATTATATGATATACATCATTAATGTAAACCTCACTTTGCAAAATCCATCTGAAAGTATTTCCTATTTTGCAGGATATTGTAACCAATGTTTCTCCAAGGATTGTGCGTGGAACTACTTCAGGTCCTCTGTATGGCCCAGGCCAAGGCTCTTTTCTAAACATTGAACTGATCAGCGAGAAAACAGCAGCATATTGGTGTAAAAGCATTGCTGAACTGAAGGCTGACTTTCCAAACCACGTAAGTGCCACTTAATCGTAATGATGCAACGTATTTACTAGAGATTTCTAGTTTACAGGTCTATGAAACCCACATATTTAGTATCTTTTCAGTAGACTGTAAATTGCTTTATTGAAATACAAATACACTGTTAAAAACTAGAAAAGCCCATCCAAATAATATCTATGACAGAAAATTCTGTGAAATTGCTGTCATGCAGAGGAGAGTCATGATTTTTTAATTAGGCTGCTGTTTAATTTCAAATAGATAATATCAAGGGAAAGAGTTGATTCCAGTGTGGATGCCCAGAAGTTCTGTTGTGAATAATTTTGTATTTAAGATCATATGTAATTTATAATAAGAATTGTTACTGTGAATTGAATTTGATCATAAAATGAATATGTGTTCTTTTCATTCTTAATCCAAATGTGAAAGATGCTTATAGTATTTTCATAAACAATTGAGTACTCTAGGTGAAAAAACCCAATACTTAAAGTTAACTTCACTGCAAGGATAGAGTTTTGTTAGAGGCTCTTTGGCTGTGGGGAATATCTGTTTCTGCAAGGTAATAAGCCCAATGAGGGCAATGACACCAGCTAGCTGGCATAAATGGTTTTCAGCTACTTTTCTTGTGAATAAGGACAATGAGGCAGAAAGTAAAATTCTCCTCAGTCATCTTGAATGGATAGAACTAGCAGTTCCAAAGCCTGCATATCTTCTATCTTGAAGTTATTACCTCCATGCTTCAACTATGAGCAAAATAAGTGAACATTCCTGCATATATTAAGACATGAAGATAAACAAGAGCTTTCTTCTTATTCCTCGTGTTCAGTGTGCACATCAGCAAGTATGAAAGTGTTCAAACTTTTCATATTGACAGTAGTAGTGCTGCATGTTTAATATCCTACTTCCCTGTGAATAGACTGTGTGTTTCTTTGCTGATATTCTCATCACTTTATTTACTGTGTCTGAGCTTCATTATAATGAAAGCATGAACCCAAAGATAATATCCTATTCCCTAATTTTGATTTTTACATCCTTTGTAAAAGTCCTGGATATTGCATTCAGGCAGACTGTTGGCCATTTCTACTGTGGGAATGCTGTCCCACTACAGTCTTCACCAAAATCCCTCACAGCACTTTATGCCTGAGGTCAAACCGTTCTCTTCTATGAGGAAAAGCACTAGCAGCATTTCAAAAGGAAGATTTGAATTTTTTGAGACCTAGTGTTGTGTGTGGGATGAAGGAGTCCCACTCTTCCAGAGTTCCTGGGGTGAACATCTTCTGATCATCCCTCATTATATGTGAGTTATTACTTTGAGAATGTGAATTCAGTTTCTGCACGTTGGCTATGGCTGCTACTGTGGCATCTTTGAGGTTGGTAATGCCTGTGTGGGCATAGGGGAAGCAGCACCCAGCAGGAGACCTTGGCATTGCTTACAGGGATTTTTAAAACATGACTGTGAACTCATCTAAGAACTGTCATATAATTATAATGGTAAATTTGTTGCTAACCAAAACCAGAATTTTGTTCAGAGGAGAAGTCTCTTGGTGCTTATTTTGAGATATTCTGTATAATTACAGCTCACAGAAATTTCTTCACCCAGAAAGGGTTTTTCAACATTGTGTGTTTTATTAAAACCAAAACCAATTTCTGAGAACTGTTTACGTGAATTTAATTAATGAGCAAAGAGTGACATTTTCTGCTCAAATGAAGGCCAAACACGAGGACACAAGTGATTACAGTATAAAAAACTTATCTTACTAAGGGAAATTTTAAAAGCAAATCAAGATTAACACATAATTACTTTTGCTGTGAAATACAAGTAAGTTAGATTAAGATTTATGTTACAGGTGGAAAGGATATGAGCAAAATAGCCACCTCACTAGAAAATGATCCCACAACAGCATTGTATCTCATGCCATTGGGAAGAAGCAAACCATAAAGGGCAGCTAAATTCCCCCAACAGAAGCTGGGATGTAAACTGAATTTTGCGATGTGTTGTGCAGAAGAGGACCACCAGTCACAGCTTTGTGGGTAATGCCACTTAACTGTGGCATGATACCTTTCTAAATCAGGAACTAGCATCTCTCTTGTGCTGTCTTCAACCCCTGTAGTGGGTGGCCTCATTCTTTGTCTCTTCTATCTTCTGATTCTTGCTTGCAGCTTGCAAATATCTCTGACTGGCAGTCTTTCCCTTTCTGCTCTTCTGTTAGCTCCTCCCTTTGACCCCAAATCCTAATTGAGGGAGAAGCTGCCACCACCAGGAACTTGCTTCAGTGCCACCAGCAGTAAATAAAATATTGAAAGGGTCTAAGCAGAGGCGTCTGGATTTTGTATGTTACCTGGTAAAGTATTATCAAATGCTGCTTACTGGGGTCAACCCACCACAGGTGGGAAATGCATAAATGTCAGTTCACAACTGGGCCAGAACTGGGACATGCAGTGGTTAAAGTGCTTTAGTTAGTGGGGTGAAAGAACTAACACTAATGTCACAACAAGTCCCACTTTTGTATTTTATTCACCAAGGAAATACCTGATTATATGTTGGCTTGGTGTACTTTCCAGCCAAAACGTAGCTGAAAAAAATGACAGAGTATGGTACATTCAAGAAATTAGTTTAGTTAGAAATATAAATTCAGCCAAGTACAACTCACCTAATGATATGAACAAGAATTAAAACGGTGCAGAAAAAAAATTGCTTTTATGTTAGCAAATGTCTATAAAATTTAATCATTGGGAAGTGGCTGAGAAAGTTGGAAAAAAAGTTATAAAGCCTGGGAGGAGAACTTACTGCTTAAATTTTATATTCACATACTTGACAATAGCTACAATTTGGCCATTATCTGTGCTGGGAACTGTGAATACTGGTGGTGGCAGTATGTCTTGGTGACCTGGTAAAGCAAGGAGCTGTAATCTCTTTAGCATTTGCAGTGAGGAGAACAAGCTTGAAAAGAGCAAGGTTTGAAAATAGTAAAATACTCCTCTGCAGAAAAATGTATACCAGGGTTGCACTGAGAAGGTGATGAATGCAATTGCCAAATAGTCTTTCTACACCTTCTTATAATTGATGCCCTATAGATGATAATAAACAAATCAATTAAAAACCTCAATATGCAAATTAGTTTGGGTCTGGGTGCATGCAGGAGGTCACAGAAGTACAAATAAGGGCTTTGACAGGACAGTCCATGAAATAGACTGCAGGTCATTCCCTACCAGAATAAAAGAAGTCCATCACAAACAAGCAAATGTCCGAGAAATTTGTACCACAGGAGAGAACTGATCTTGAAAGAAGATGCCAAATTTAATATTTTTTAATATTGCTATGTTAGTATGCTCAAGTCTTAAAAGTAAGTTTTTGGCCTCCTAGCTCAACACAAATAAGTTTGATCTCCTGCATGACTCTGGAGAATGTGCATAGGATACCAGATTGTCAGCTGTGACTCTGAATCTGTGATTCAGATATCAGTGTCATGATGCGTTGAATTGAGAAACCTCTTCTGCTAGAAACAGTAAGTACTCCTGGACCTCCCCACTAAGCTGAAAACTCTTGTCTTAATGTTTGTTCTGCTGCTTGTGGAATGTTGCTGACAGTCTCTCTGACAGTTACTCAGCAGAGAGCAGCTCTTCAGGGCTGAAGCTGTTAAAGATATATTTTTGTTCAATGTTTTGTTCAGAATGTCCCAGGAACACCTGTTGGGAGTAGCCCTGCTAGAGAGTGTGTGAGAACAGATCACTGGATCCCAGGCTGGTAACTGTCTTCTTTGCAGCATTGTGGGGGTTTTGGTGCTTTTGTATGTTTTGGATTTGTTTGGGGTTTTTTTAATCTCCTGAAATGGTGCAATTAGTTTTTATATTATTAAATTTTTTTCTACCATAGAAGTATGAAATAAGGCTGCTGGTTTTGTTTGGATTTGGTCTTTGTGGGTTCTTGGTTTGATTTTTTTTTTTTTAATTTAGATAAGAAACCCAGATTTGGTTTAATTCTACCCTGTGAGGATGGGAGAGGATAAAAGGCTACAGAGGAAGAAAAATACAATCTTAACAGGCATATATGAGTGTATTGCTCCTGCAAATAAATTTTGTTGCGGAAACATGCAATGTTCAAAGAGATGAAGTTATAAGGTGAATAGAAATAGACTTGCAGCAGTTATTTTACTATTTTGTATGGGGCAATTAAATTGGTTTGCCAGTGTGATCCCTGAAGTTTCCTACATATCAAACTTGTGTTGGACCAGCTCAGGCTTTAAAAATAGGTTTTGTCTACACACTGGGAACAACATTAATCTATTTATTTAAAACTTTTTCCTCACTAAGTCTGCACTAATACTAGACCCTGTAATCTGGTTACTGAGAGGGATTGATCAGAATATCTAAAAGTGCTGTCAATCTCCTTTGAGACTTAAAATTAAGGGATGTTAGGTGGAAAACTTTTTAAGATACAGAGGACTCATGGGCTTACTGTGAGAAGGTCAAATTTGGATTTCTCACTAGAGATACTAGTAATAATTTTTTTTTGCAGGTATTATTATAGCTTTTGCTTTTAATGAGTATTTTGAGGCCTGTGAGATGTTGTACATAGTATTTGTATTTTGAGACACCAGTCACAGACTTGCTTCAGGTTATAAAATGCAATCGTTTTGCTCTTCCTAGGCCTAGTATAGATAGCTTTACCTTTCCATCACAGAGAAATTATACTTTGTACTCCAAATACCTACTAAGTTGTATCTCCATGTGATAAATCTTACACATCTTGACAAGCTCAATATCTAAAATCTTGGAATAAAACATTTCTAAACAATCAGGTAGGGCCATGCCCATGTGGACCTCACTTGGTACCAACATCAATCCGTCATCTTAATGGGGAGGGTACATGCTGTGCATTTTCAGGCCTATCAGAGGACTTTGCTGAAGGTCCAGATGCTTGTCCATGTGAACTGAAAAGGACACAGCACAAGGGGACAGAACCATAAGCTGGGCTGCCTAGAAGCCTGCACACTCCAAAAAGTGCAGAACAGCTA